ACACACACACACACACACACACACACATACACACACACACACACACACACATATATATATATATATTTACATATATATATATATATTTATATATATGTATATGTTTATGTAAACATATAAATATACATACACATATAAATATATGTATGTATATATTATATATAAATATCTATACATGCATAAATATGCATATATATATATATTTATATATACATATACATATACATATATATATATATACGTGTATTTTCCACATGTTACAGACGGGTACGCTTGGATGAGGAAGTGGTGCTCATAACTGGAGGTGCAGGTGGTCTTGGCAAGTCCATTGCACAGCACTTCGGTGCATTGGGTGCTACGGTTGTGTTGTGGGATCACAACCTGAGCTTATTAGCCGAAACTAGAGACCAGCTTAAAAATGATGGCATTAAAGTAGAAGCAGTTTTCTTGGATCTGAGAGACAAAGACTCTATCAAGGACTGTGCAGAACATCTACAGAAGCGTAGAGATGTGACAGTGCTAGTCAACAATGCGGGAGTGGCGTCAGTGAAGCCCTTGTTGGAGTTGACAGATGAACAGATCTCCAGGTACGAAGCATTTGTCTAACGAAGGAGCTCTGTGTGCGTGTACGTGTGCGTGTGATATTTGCAGTGAGTGTGAGTTATGGAAAGGCATGTGGTGCTTGGGCATGTATGGCATTCTGAGCTATTCGTGGTTTAGACAATGCCATAGTGAAACAGTGCCAGACGCATTCCGAAGCCGAAAGGAGAACAAGGCAGTGATTCCAGTCACACATTCTTAGGACTGCGCATATTTGGTACATATTTTAACTTTAAACTTAATTTTAACTATAGAACTTAACGGATAATACAGCGTGCGCACATGCATCAGTAGCCTGATTTGTCGTCGTATCCTCTGCGTGTTTGTGGGGGAACTAGGCAGTGGAGCAAGCGTGTCCTTTAAAAATCTAAAAAGGCGAAAACAACATTTTCTTCTTCTCCAATTTGTAGTACCTTTGACGTGAATGTACTGTCGCATTTCCACACGGTGAGAGCCTTCCTTCCCGCAATGATGCGGCGGCAAAAGGGACACATCATAACCATCGCCTCAGTGCTTAGCCATATTGGCGCACGGAACTTGACCGGTAGGGTTGTACATTATTTGAAGTCGAATAGAATGTATACAAGCGAGAAGCTACCACACGTACAAACTTACATATATAAATGTATGAACCCCCCCATACACACAGACACGCACAAACATATGCTCACTCTCAGATCGGAATACGAGCCCTATTTCACTTGTGTTCTGTTAATTCATATGCGATATGTTTAGTCGTATCACTCACAGATATGTTATCTACGGCACAGATTATTCCTATTTCACTTGTGTTCTGTTAATTAATATGCGATATGTTTAGTCGTATCACTCACAGATATGTTATCTATGGCACAGATTATTCCTATTTCACTTGTGTTCTGTTAATTAATATGCGATATGTTTAGTCGTGTTACTCACAGATATGTTATCTATGGCACAGATTATTCCTATTTCACTTGTGTTCTTTAATTCATGTGCGACATGTTCAGTCGCGTTACTTACAAATATGTTATCTACGGCACAGGTTATTCCCATTTCACTTGTGTTCTTTTAATTCATGTGCGATATGTTCAGTCGCGTTACTCACAGATATGTTATCTATGGCACAGATTATTCCTATTTCACTTGTGTTCTTTTAATTCATGTGCAATATGTTCAGTCGCGTTACTCATAGATATGTTATATATGGCACAGATTATTGTTCCTCCAAAGCAGCGGTGTCCGGATTCCATGAGGCTCTGGCAGTCGAACTGTCTGTCACTGCACGTATGTACTGAGTGCGCACGCACACCTCATTTGACACACTTATGGGTGTATTTTAAGCTCGTGTTTGTATCTCCATCAATTCATACACACGTCCTCATGCCCGCCTTGTCAACTCGATCTCGTTGGTTATTTATGTCAGTGTTCATTTTCTGAGTGTTTATGTGTATTACACATGCTTCTGCTGTGGTTACATACCTATCCCTCATATTGCGTTTGGTATTACACATGCTTCTGCTGCGGTTACATACCTATCCCTCATATTGCGTTTGGTATTACACATGCTTCTGTGGTTGTACATCAGTGTATCCCCTTCGGTGTCCGTCTTCGAGTAAGTCCCTCTCTCTGCATCCGCTGTACCGAACTATTCTAACGCTTTCCTATAGTCCACCACGTTCGATTGTTTGTGCTCGTGCTTGATCGTGTACTCACCCTTACTGTACCGATAGGCCTATATATCAAATATATCGATAACAAGCATTTAGCCTATATATCAAATATATCAATAACAAGCATTTGCATCATTGTCCAATCTCTGCGCAAGCCTTGACCATGGGCCTTGGCAACGGCGTTGTTGTCTTTGGGAGTCTAGGTGTAGATCTATCGTGTGTGCGGGATGTTTTTGTCTGTGGTGTGTTGTGCTGCACACAAATACTTACCAGCCACTACACCCCTCAACGCACAGCTGCTATCAACACTACCAATACTTACAAACCACTACACCCCTCAACACACAGCTGCTATCAGCACCACTATTGTGAAGGCTGCCACACTGACCACAGCAATGTTTGAGGGCACAAAAACTCCACCCGGCATAAGGTACACTCAAAAACAGTGTACTACACTCAAAAACACCTCAGCACTTGTGTTATTATGTGCACTACACTCAAAGACACCTCAGCACTTGTGTTATTATGTGCACTGCACTCAAAGATACCCCAGCACTTGTGTTGTTGTGTGCACTACACTCAAAGACACCTCAGCACTTGTGTTGTTGTGTGCACTACGTTTCTGTGGAGTGTGGTGGTGGTTCATTCTTTCTGGTTGAGACAAGTCTTGTGAGCAGGACCTCGGACGTTTGTGCTGTGTACGATGTCGCGAAACTGATGCGGCTGGGAGTGCGGAAGTGCTTTAGCATGTTGCTATGAGTATATGACACATTCGACAGATGTCAAACAGATGTTATTGTGCGAGCACTCGAGTGTACCCCTGACACCGACACACCGCAAACGGATATGCCAACCACAATTGGCTGACGTTATAGTCTGTTTTGTTCATGTTCTCTTATTTTTTTTTGTCTGTTTGTTTTGTTCATGCTCTCTTTTTTTTTTTCGGCGCCCGCAGCGCGATTGATCCGGAGGATGTGGCTCGTGCCATAGTGGATACAGTTTTAGCAGGTAAGATACAGTTTTAGTAGGCATAATACAGTTTTAGTAGGTATGATACAGTTTTAGTAGTTTAGTAGGTAAGATGCAGTTTTAGTAGATACGATAGAGTTTTAGTAGTTTAGTAGGTAAGATACAGTGTAAGCAAATGCGTTCATTTGTCTGTGCTTCCATGCTCGCTTGAACCAGCTCTAGCGGACCTCAAAGGAGCCTCATCTCGAGTCAGGTACACGCAATGTTATGTCTCATCGCAATACTCAAAAGGAAAAGGTGATCCATCTCACACGCACAGACGTCCCTTATGCCCCCTACACACCCTCTGTACGCCCTCTATACACCCTCTACACACCCTCTACACACCCTCTATACACCCTCTACACCCCCTCTATACACCCCCTCTAAACCCTCTACATACCCTCTCTACACCCTCTCTACACCCTCTCTACACCCTCTATCGACCCACTATACACCCTCTCTACACCCCTTCTACACCTTCTATACACTCTATATACACCCTCTATACACCCTCTCTACCCCAACAGTCTCAGCTGGGTGCTCCACCACGCTTATTCTGCCCGCGTTGTTCTACACATGGCCTGTGTACGCCGCACTGCCAACGGGTGTGAAGGTGTGGCTCATGCACATCACAGGTGCAGTGCAGTCACTCAGCGATGTCACGGGAACGCAATAGCGCACACAAAGCACTCAAGCAATGTGGTCGTCATGTGAGATGTGTGGCATGTTGACTTACTGCCAACGGGTGTGAAGGTGTGGCTCATGCACATGACAGGCGCAGTGTAGTCACTCAGCGATGTCACGGGAAAGCAATAGCGCACACCAAGCACTCAAGCAATGTGGTCGTCATGTGAGACGTGTGGCATGTTGACTTTATCATAGCATGAGATTGTGCATGCTAACGAGTGGCATGTTGTCGTTAGCATTGGTTTGTGCGTACCAGGTGTGTTTGTTGATTGCATGCGATGTTCTGGATCAGTTTCCACCCAAACCAATGAGCTTGTTTGGATAAGCGCATCACCAATAGCTGCGGTGACCAAGAGTGTGTGCAAAGACCAGTCCGTTGGGATGATACAGACCTGACCTCTCAGCAGAAGCAAGTGAACCAAAAGCGCAAGTGAAGGCTGCCCGAGGAGAGGAGATGTATGGCCAAGTGTGTAGAGGAGAAGGACTCAGATTATGTGGGGGGAGAGACAGCTGGGCGTATAGGGTTTTAGGGTTTAGGGTCAAGAGAGAAGCCAACAAGCAGTGTAGTGCTTACACCAGGGAGAAACTGCGAGTGTGCTATGCGTAAGCATACGGAACAAAATTAGTGTACGTCTGTCTACCTGAGCTGCATGGCACGATAACTGTGTAACCACACTGCAACGTATGGACAAGCACGCCGCACAGAAAATGTATGGACAAGCACGCCGCACAGAAGGAGACGAGAAGGGGCAGAGAGCGAAGCTAACACAACGCACAACGCAGCCATCACAGTCAACTGCGAGTGCAACGGAAAGAAGGGGCAGAGAACGAGGACTTTGTTTCACAAATGTCTATCAGAAAAAGAGTCTGAAAACATGTGTGAGGGCAAGTCACGGCGCATGGGGACGAGCGAGCCATGTGGGTAGGCATGTTGGTAGTCAAGTGGGTAGTCATATGGGTAGTCATGTGGGTAGTCATGTGGGTAACCATGTGGGTAGTCATGTGGGTAACTATGTGGGTAGTCATGTGGGTAATCATATGGGTAGCCATGTGGGTAGTCATATGGCTAGTCAAATGGGTAGTGATGTGGGTAGCCATGTGGGTAGTGATGTGGGTAGCCAAGAAGGCAGAGAACACAAAATTCAATGCGTTCATCAAATTGAACTGTGAGTTATCGTGTCGAGTGGGGTAGTGTGATGCCGTCAAGAAGGCAACGGAGACACCTGGATGTTTGAGTAAACGTATCGAGTCAAAGTAGGGAACGGAGAAGGTTGGAAGCTTGAGTAAACGTATCGCGTCCAAATATTCTGATGACGTATGTGAATCACGAGCTGAGCGTTGGGCCTTGAGAGCGGAAAACGAAATGTGCAGAGTTCATAAGGACACAACACTTGCGAGTATACACTTGTGAGTACAACACTTGCGAGTGCGACGAGTGCACTGGCGCTGAGAGACGCGTGTGTGTAACTGAGTGTATCAATGTCAACGACTCCGATGACGTATGGGTGGGCACAGGAGGCTGCATGTAGCGAGTGTGTTGAGGGTACTGTGATACGGTTAACATGGCCAGCAACTGCGGAGATTGTCTTGCTCTGGAGAGGGGGATGGATAGGCAGAAGCGTACCACGCAATGTATCACGAATGAGCTTACACACAACGCACGTGCATGTCAGCCAACGAAGTAGGGTCAGGAGATGGGCAGCAAACGGCACATGAGGCAGAACGACCTCACAGACAACGCACGTGCATGTCAGCCAACGAAGTAGGGTCAGGAGATGTGCAGCAAAACGGCACATGAAACAGAACGAGAACTCAACCGGAGACACACAACAGCGCCAAATGGACAAAGGCTGCAAACCACAAGGCCAAGAAGCACATGGGGTTAACGGAAAGGGGTGGGGAATAGCGTGTTGAATTAAGAAGTTATTAGAATTGTTAGCGTACACGCCGCCTGGTTGGGTGGGTGGGTGGGTGTCGGTACTGAATAGTGAAGTCCACCGAAAGGGGTTGTCAACGCTCGAGCTGGGGTTGAGCTGTCGGCCATCGTACTCCCAATTCAGTTGCACAGTGAAGGTAAAATAAAATATTTAAATGTACTTGTACTACATACTTATTAGATTTGTCGAACCTTTGTCATGGCCTTTAATGAAACATGGAAGATATACTAAACGAACTCAAGACATGAGGACTATTTGGTAGACTTTACTCAGATGCAACTAGAGTCTATTAGTACTGTGATTAAATACATGTTTTGATTTCAAATAGGAAGATTTCGACGTGCTTCAAATTTTCTTAACATTCACTCTCATTGTGTTTGGTATCGTTACTGACACCGATTCGGCGCTTAACGTAATTGATTAATTATCATTTGTACTGTAAGTGATGTATCATCATACTGAAGATCTCAAATCGGCAAGAGCTTGGTCTGAAAACTGAAGCCCAAGTGAAAGGGAGTGGTCTGACAGGGTCAATCACTGAATGGCCTAGGGTTTAGGGTTTAGGGGGTTATTCTCCTATAACTATCTCATTTGATTCATGTATGTATACCGATTGGATCTCCGTCTTGTGCAGGCCCATGATGTTGAATAGTAATAAGTGGGCAATGCCAACCTTTTAACCGTGGATATATATAATAACTCCCAGGTTCATGTTTGGTCTGTACACAACACCCTCGCTCACCTCAAGTACACTTAACACACCAAAACAAACAAATACTAAACACGGGAGTCAATCCGGTTTTTAATAATAATTTAAAATTTAAGTGTAATCTACAGTCTCACAGGACTATACGGTGCCAGTGTAGTGCATCACCTGGGGATATTGATTGTTTCTTCAGAGATCTTCAGTCCCTTAACCTTATTTCTGAGGTCGTCCAGTTTAGACTCCACCCCCCCCTCTTCCTCGTTACCACTTCCATGTTCCACCGACGTGACACTTGACACAGACGTAGTAGACGACTGCTTTTGCAGTATGGTCGTAGTGCTCTGTTCAATGGTTGTGCCTGTGCCTGTAGTGTTGACACGCAGAACGGACTCGCTCTCGACCTGTAGTTGGGCGTCTGCGTCACTGTCCTTGTCTGGTGCATTGTCCCGGTGTGCAGTTTCCGGCGGTAGAAAATTGTTCGAGGATTCCGAACGCTGCCAAAATAAAAAGGACATGCGGACCAAAATAAAAAAGGATCAATAAATGGCCTTGCCCCTGTATTTTGGAATCCATCCCAGCACAGACGCAAAAACTGCTCATGTCTAAACCCACAGAAAAACCTCAACAACACACACATGGCGAATTTACGATGGATCGCGCTAGTACACTCTACTGTAGTAGCAACAACGCCCACGAAACAGATCATGGTTGACTTGGCCAACCTTTGGTGATATGGGACTTCCTAACTTGTCGCTCATCGAGACAAGCATAGGCAGTCTAGCTACCCGTGCGCACCAAGCGCTATCTCGAGCTATAGTGTTTCTTACCTCCAGATATTCATCTTCATCTTCTTTATTTAGAGTGGCCATGTGCAGCTCTATGAGTTCATTCAGCTCGTCCTACGGATTGCGTATAGTAATCGGGAGAAGGATATGTTAACTTGTGTTCTAATTGAGAGAAGTATATGTTAATTTGAGTACAGTAATTGGGAGAAGTATATGTTAATTCGAATATAGTAATTGGGAGAAGTATATTCTAATTTGAGTATAGCAATTGGGAGAAGTATATGTTAATTGGAGTATAGTAATTGGGAGAAGAATGTGTTAATTAAAGCATAGTAATTGGGAGAAGTGCAATGTATACGTTAATTTGAGTATAGTAATTGGGAGAAGTATATGTTAATTTGAGTACAGTAATTGGGAGAAGTATATGCTACTTTGAGTATAGTAATTGGGAGAAGTACATGTTAATCTGAGTATAGTAATTGGGAGAAGTATATGACAATTTGAGTATAGTAATTGGGAGAAGTATATGTTAATTGAAGTATAGTAATTGGGAGAAGTGCAATGTATACGCTAATTGGAGACGTGTGAGTCCTATCTGACAGTAGCTACTATCTGTGGCGAGCACAATGCGAGAGATGCACGCTACAACGAGGGAGGGCCGCACAGCCCAACCCATTCACATGTGACTATAGTCAGTGCAGCAACGCTTGGTTATGTGAGAAAATGTCACATTCTTCCCACGCCACTTGTAGGACATACACCAGAACCACTCCCACTCAGCAAAGACGATTACGGGGTTTTAGGGTTTAGGTTTCCACATACTTCCCAACCCAGCATGGCGGTCAACTGGCGACAGCCTTCATCGCACGTGCCCAGGTACCGAACATCTCGGTTTAGTTTGCTCGACCAGTCAAAGAAGGGGACTTTGGGCACCTCCAGGTTGAGCATCAGCCGTACACACGTCTTGTCCACAAATGTGCACAGGTGGCTGAAAGGCGCTACCTACATTCGGAGATAGTCCAGATGTTAAAAGGAATGTACGTGAGATGTGTGGGCATGATGGCGAAAGATGCACAATAAGGTATACCACTTGGATACGAATGTGAACAGCGTAGCGTAGGAGAGTACGTTCAAGTGTTGGTAACTACCCAAAACGATGCATGTCGCAGAATCAATTGCCAGATTGTCGTTCAGACTACTATGTGATCACAAGTAATATACACAAGGGGCCATAACACATTGCTCACGATGTGTCCATAGCAGTTAGTATGCGCTTCAAGCATTACAGTCCAACTATCGGCTTTCAGACTTCAGTACAAAAGTAAAACAGCGTATAAGCGACTGCATCGCTCTATCTGCAGTGGATGTGATACACCATCTGGCTGACTGCTGTTCACTCGAATCCATATACCACTGTATCTGTAGTGACACTTAATGTTTCTGAGGCAAGTGGCTCTACTAAATAATTAAACCTATGGCAATGAAGTGAGAGACACGCGGGATCAGAGAAATCTTGTAGCATATTACAGGACACCGGGCACAGGGATTATACAATAGAGATGAACAGAGATGAACACTGTCTCACGCGCATGGTTGTACGCGTTGCTTTGGGTTTATCCAACATGCATAGCAACCAAACACTAATGCGACATCAGAGCAACGCACATCCTGTCATACACCCGCCACTCGCACTACAATTCTTTTTAGGGTTTAGGGTTTGGACTGGCACTCGTACTGTATGGTACAGCCGAGAAACTCAGGGGTGCACACATCATTCCAACGCTACATATGACAACAACTCTACACGCACCTTGAGCGACGTTCCCATAATCAGTAGCAAGTCGCATTCGTCGAAGTCTTCATTGGCGCGCTCGTCGAAACGCGCAGGTAAGTTCTCTCCGAAGAACACAATATCAGGCTTAACAACACCCTCACACTTGGACTCCGCACAGCAGGGCAGTTGATCATTATTAACAAACCCTGTGAACACGCAGAGAGGGGTTGAGACAAACAGGAAAACAAAGCAATGTGGTTGTAAGGCAGGGGATTGTTAGGCGATGATGGCTTAGTGCAGGCTGCTTGCGGGACGCTCGAAGTCCGTTCCGCACCCAACAACCACAAAGATATTACCACTTGCCAGTACTATTTAGGAATGTGGGGCAATCCAACACAGACCCCAGCAGCGCGTGAATTCATACTTTATAGACGACAAATTATGCCACAAAGAAAAAAAACACAAAAATAATATATATATATATAGACTGCAGCATAGCCTCCGTATGATCACAACCAGGCCAATCACAGCCTAACGGACAAACTATGTACATGGCATCCCCACGGTACAATGTGCCTCGTAAGTCACTGTATGCATCATCGTGCATAGTGTTCTTTGGCGCACATGTTATGTGAACAACCCTACAGATACTAGTTACCACTTCACTGCATGCAACGCAATGTGACTATCTGTGAAGCCAAGCGAAACTCAATCTACAGTGTTTTCCGTCTCGAATTAGCCATGGGATACATCACCCGACAAAAACAAAAAACTCAGTTCATAAAAGACTCTTGGGTTAATCCCACCTAAAGACATACGAAAAACTCGATTCATACGACTCCTGGGTCAATCCCACCCAGAGACTTACAATAAACTCAGTCCATAAAAGACTTGCAATAAACTCAGTTCATATAAGACTACTGGCCCAATCCTACCAAAAGACTTGCAATATACTCAGTTCATATAAGACTCCTGGGTCAATCCTACCTGCATCTCATTTCTCGGGGTAAAAACTCACCGTATACGTAGTCCTGGGGATACCCTTTCCCGCAATCCATGCATGTGCCACTGGCGAAGCTTCCATGCGCTTCCACCGTGAGTTCAGGGTCAATGCCGGCTGGGAATGGTGAATGCATATGTGAACATTACAGATGAATATACGAGTGAGTGAACGTCAAAGGTGAATATACGAGTGAGTGAACGTCATAGATGAATATATGAGTGAGTGAACATCACAGATGAATATACGAGTGAGTGGACCTCACAGATGAATATATGAGTGAGTGAACATCACAGATGAATATACGAGTGAGTGAACATATATGCGTTCAACTTGTGTATATGTTTGAGTCACAGGACGAATGAGATCGACAGTGTCTGCAGAGTACACTAGAGCACGGACGCAGGACTGGTACACAATAACATGAATAGCGAGCCAGCAATTGTCGATCATGAACCAGGACTTGTCTCAACAGGGCCGTTAGTAAGTGTCTGAGAAGGTCCCAATGGGATGCTTGCTCACCTCTCCTTTCTAACGCGTCGATGTTCTGTGTAAAGCATCTCTTCAGGAGACTCTTCTCTTGCAGCATGCGCACAAAGAAGTGTGTATACGTTGGCTTGAAGTTACCAGGGAACAGCGACTTGGCTAAGGAGAAGAAAGGAACGGGGTTTTTCTGTGCGTGGGTAGAGGGGAAGCATACGTGGCTGTTAATCTACTGAATTGGTACGTACATGATGTACTGCTTATAAGCTAGTATGTGCTTGTGTAATGAACGGGGAAAGGGGTGTGCCAAGCAGGCTCTATACCACAATGACACGAACAGACTTGTGCAGGGGATTTCCAGCGAAATCAGACTATCCATGAGCATTCGGGTTGCTGTATATGTTAATATATAACTCGAGCAGTGCTTTGCATGTGTGTTCTTGATGTATATACAGCTGATCCCTGACGTTCAGTACATACTACAATACACATTGGGATAACCCACAGTACCTGCTTCGTTGTACATAGGCCTACCTACCACAGGGATAGCCACAGTATATAAAAGAAAGAACAAATGCGCCATCGAATACACTTGACCCTACACTTCAATATATCGGCCAAGTCATAGCAGCCTGTATCATAGCAGCCTGTAAAGCCATACACACACGCATTCAGACACACACACACATAAACCGCGTTCTTTCTCGGTCGCACACCATACTATACATTCTATAGTCACATCACTTATGCAAAACAACTTTCCTCCAGGCCCTACCTCAAAGAACCCAATATCGAATATAGCTTCCGGATACGGCAGTTGGTACTTCTCCAATTGACTATACAAACCCTTAGGGCCTCTAAAGTCGGGTATGCCTGCAGATGTACTGACACCTGCACCTTGCAGGACTACAATGCGTTTGCATTTGCCCGATTTTATGTAGTCTGCTACATGTTGTAGCGTGGCACCAGGCAGCAATGCTTTGGACGGTCGCCGTGACTCTGCTTTCATTTGTTCGTATAGGATCCGACTATAGATGTAGGAAAATGTGCTATGTAAGGAAGCTGTGAGCATGTCTGAATTTGTATACACACATACATATACAAACACACACATACACACACACACACCCATATATATATATATATAATCTTGTATACGAATCTGTACATGTGTATGTATATATACAAGTTTAAACATGTATATACATATGTCCTTATATGTGTATGTATATATGTAATTGTATACGTACATATATATATACTCATATAGTTATATATATATATATATTA